GCCTGAATATCTTCTTTGGCGAAGTGCCTGTTCATATCCTTTGCCCATTTTTTAATTGGGTTATTTGTCTTTTTGTTGTTGAGGTTTTGCAGTATCTTGCAGATTTTAGAAATTAGACACTGATCAGATTTGTCGTAGCCAAAAATTTTTTCCCGGTCTGTAGGTTGTCTTTTGACTCCTTTGGTGAAGTCTTTTGATGAGCATAAGTGTTTGATTTTTAGGAGCTCCCAGTTATTTAGTCTCTCTTCTGGTGCTTGTGTATATACTACTTTTTCTTGAGGAACTAAAAACACATAATTATTTTTTATAAAGGTAATCCACTTTATATATATACACGTACATATGGAGCCCTAGTGGTGCAGTGGTTAAGAGCTCGGCTGCTAACCAAAATGTCAGCAGTTCGAATCCACCAGCTGCTCTTTGGAAACCCTATGGGGCAGTTCTACTGTGTCCTATAGGGTCGCTGTGAGTTGGAATCAACTCGACAGAAATTTTTTTTTTTTTAATACATACATACATACATATATATCTATAAAATGTTGAAAGTTAGTCAATAGCACAATGATTTGACAAGGGTGTGGTTAAACTCAGAAAAGAACTAAGGACTCGTTATAGTTAGTTGAATACTCAGGAATAGGTTAGAATGTCTCTCTCTTTTTGTTTTTTGTTTTTTGCTTTCTATTGCAAACAGTTTGACCCATTCTCCAGGGGCCACTCATATACTGTCTTCCAAAATGAATGAGGAGCCCTGGCGGCACAATGGTTAAGAGCATAGCTGCTAACCAGAAGGTTGGCAGTTCGAATCCACCAGCCACTCTTTGGAAACCCTATGGGGCAGTTCTACTCTGTCCTATAGAGTTGCTATGAGTCAGAATTGACTCGATGGCAAGGGGTTTGGTTTGGTTGGGTTAATATGAGTGACCACATCGCCAATCATGTCCGGCTGTCTCATAAATGCCTTCAGTGAAACTGGAGATGGAGATAGGGATGGGGGGTTGGAATGAGATTTGAATGAGATATTAGAATGAGATAAATGATGAGATAAAAGATCGTGTTAAAGAGACATGAGATAAAAGATTGTTTGTCTTCAAGCCAATTTCTTCTCTTTTCCTGAAAAATCATCTAAAATACAGGCTGTAGTAGTAGTAGATATGTAGAATCATCTTCACTGACCTCAGTAAGCATTGAATGATGCAGGTTAGGTCCAGACTTCCATGCTAATACAAGTGTGCTTACATTGTGAGGTCAATCCTCAACTCATTTATGGTCCAGATGGAGAGATAGACCACACACAGAGAAAGCTAAAGAACGATATTAGGAAGCAGATTTCTCTGAATCATCTCAATCTACCAAGACTTTCTAATTTTTAACAATTGGGTCCAGAATAGTTTGAGAATGGGTTCATTTTGTGTCTCGTGTTTCAGGCGTATTCTCTAACCATCACTATTAGGTTCTCTCTTTTCTCTTGCTGGGGCATTGTGAATCATGTGAATACTGAGATTTCTTTTTTCTTTTGTACAGGGTCAATACAAACAACTTCATACAGGAAGGAGCCCCAGGTTCATGGAATGGATGCAGAGCAAAGCTGCTGGATTCCATCATCGAGTAATAAAACCTCTGGTTCCCAGGGAATAGAGAAGAACCTTCATCTACCCTTCTATGTGGCTCGACCCATTGCTGTGGGGGTTGAGCAGCCCCACTCTTCTCCAGTCAGCTAAGACGTTATGGCAACAAAGGGCTCCTGATCCACCATGATAAAGGCAGCCGACTCAGTGGAAAACCAGAACTAAAAGGAAGGTCAAGAAGAACAAACCGTGTCAATGGACAGTATATTTCCTTTCCAAAAGTAGAGGAAAAATACAGATTCTGGCTCTAGAGCTATCTCTACAACTAACCCTGGAGATAAATATGTAGCTGTGCTTTTGTTTCTTCCTTCAAGAAATCCCACTGCAAATTTTCAAGTGAGAATAACCGGGAGAATCACTAGGTAACTCATTAGAAACCAAAATTGAGACCGTAGTGATTTATAAACGGTGTTGTCTCCAGTCATCAAATCTACAAACAGATTTCCACCTCCTGCAGCCCTAGAAGAAATCTGTGGTTAAAGCAGGCAATCACACAGGTTTGGTCAGTTATAAATACAGTAATTTCTTTTATCTGGACAGAGCATTTAGCTCAATCTTATGAAACGGTTAGAATATTAAAATTACTGTTAAGATGTATTGCAGGCATTTTGCTTATCATTGGTATTTTCCATGCCAGTAATTTTGCAGAATGAATTGTAATAAATTAATGAAAAATGTCATAACTTAGAACTTTATTTCTTGAGAATTAGATGGTCTATTTTTTCTACTTTAAAATCTGTGAATGAAAACATTTAATTTTTAATATATTATGCAAGAGACTGCAATGTTTTTCAGTGATTACTCTTCTTTCCCCTACAGAATTTTTTTTTTCAGTGAAAATGGTAACTTCTCCCTTTGTGTGTTTGCACAGAACCTTTTACTTATTTTTAAATGTGAGATTGTTTCATTTTCATTATGGACAGCAATCAATTTCTTCTAATTATTTAAATAAAATCACCATGAAACAAACATTTTATTGTCCATTTGGTGAAGTAGTTAATTATAATCTAAGGGGGCATTAGAGTTGAATCAAAATGAATTGTCAAGCTTGCTATTGTTTGACATTTATCTCTAACTTTATAAGGTAAAAATTCTAAGTAAACATTTATCTTGCAATCAAGGAATTAATACTACAGATAACCCCACCTGATACAATAACTTTGAATTTGGGGGGACTTTCAATTTATGCAATAACTAGTCCCTTTTCTTATCTTTCTCTTTCTTTTCTCTTCCATTCCTTGGACTTTCATTATACCAGAAGTCAGGATAAAAAAGAATGGAAACATACGTCTTCAAGTGGATAAAACCAAACCAAACCTGTTGCCATCAAGTCGATGACTCATAGCAACTCTATAGGACAGAGTAGAACTGCCCCATAGGGTTTTCAAGGCTGTAATCTTTACAGAAGCAGACTGCCACCTCTTTCTCTTGGGTTTGAACTACCAAACTTTCAGTTAGCAGCCGAGGGCTAAACCACTGTGCCACCAGGCTCCTTCTTCAAGTGGATACTTCTTAGAAATCTTGGTCACGGTTTAGTGATGGGGAGGATAATCTGAGGTTTGTGGATATTGACTAATTGATTCAGCATGACCCCCTTCCTCAGTTAATTTAGATTTTTCTGCATTCAGTTTTGCTTTAACTGACAGTTGACAGCCAGGATGAGTGGAAGACTCATCTTTTATTTTTGATGAGTGAACTGACCTCAGAAAAACAGTTTTTCTATTTTTAAATGTGATTTCTCTCTCTTTTTTCAAAAGTTAGCATTTTTGAAATTTTAAGGGTTTGGTTTATATTTCTGTATTTTAGCCCTTCTTTCAAGATTTCAACAATAAACAAAGAAATGGCCCGAGACCACAATAGCCCATATCACACCATTATCCCTGAATGAGAAAATTCGTGTTTCCTCTGAGGTTTTCCATGAACCTGACACCTCAGAAACTGGGACCATGTTAGGTCCTTAACCAGGTAGGTCTTGCCAGATCTCTGTCAGATTAAAGAAAAAAAAACCATGCTTTGTGTTGTTCAGCCAACAAGTCACCCTGAAGAAATATCTTCCTTCCTTCCAGCTCTACGTCTCTACCAGAAATGTTCTCCCTTCTTTAAAAATCTAGGTTTAAAAAAAGAACATTTTTCATCTAAGGTATTTGATTTGCATTTTTTCCAGGTTGAATACATTTATTTCCTAAATCTCAAGGTCTCATTGTACATATCATGCCTGATTGTGATTTTATTTGACTAAATGTCACCGAATACATATAAAAGGAGAGTTCTGTACTCTTTTCTAGACACCTAAAATCAGTTCCATCAAGTCCATTGTGACTCATGGCGCCCCCATGTCTGTCAGAGTAGAACTGTGCTCCATAGGATTTTCAAAGGCTGATTTTTTGGAAGTAGATTGCCAGGCCTTTCTTCTGAGGCACCTCTGGGTGGACTCAAACCTCCAATCTTGCAGTTAGCAGCTGAGCACATTGACTGTTTGCACCACCCAGGGACTCCTCCAGGCATCTAATGACGGCTGAATACACTGTATTCTCCTGAGACCATATGATTCTAATTCCACCTTTTAGTTCTGATTTCCAACTTGTGTCCTTTCTGTATAAATTAATCCTTATTGTGTAATAACTGAAAACGTGACAAAATCCCCCTCTTCCCAAAAAAGCCTACGCCCAAACAAACAAAAATGCTAAGAGAGAGGGCAAACATCCAGTTGAGGTAATTGACTGTGACAAGCCAGAATTTATTTTGTTTTACTTTTTCTTTTTTCCTTTCTTAAGTCCTTAAATGACAAACCTTTCTCAACATTGTTTCATTCTGAGCTCTTTGGCTCCAGGCAGGCCTGAAGCAGAGTACTTTCCTGTTTGGAACTTGACAGGGTTTCTGTAGCTAGTAGTCATATGCTAGAAACAAGATGCTTAATAGCAAAGTATGTGACGGACATTTAATTTTATGTTAATCATTCACATACAAGTAGTCCCTGACTTACGACAGGGTTCCATTCCAATGACTCCGTCCTGAGTTGGTTTCGATGTAAATTGAATACTTTATTATTCTTATTCATTATTATTGCCTTTTATTATCAGTATCTTTATAAATCTGATCTTTATTTGTCTTTGAGGGTTGGAAACATTGCATATAAATTGACAGATATGATGACATCCGCCAATTATGCACTGCCACATTGTATGTAGTACATATTACTAATGACAAGATATACAAAAAAATCCAAAAAAGAGATGGTAGTAAGTGCGGTTCATCCCAACGTGCATACGTCGTAAGTTGGGGACTACCTGGATTTGAAACAGACTTTAGAAAGCGTACAAATGACTAAACAAGGAAGTTCTCTAGCTGATGGTCATTTCCTGTTCTTCTCCTCTACAAGATCCTTAGTGAGGAGTCCTGTCAACTCGACAGGAAGTTTTAAAATTTGAAAAGAAACCAATAAATAGTTGGTTTTTCTGACATGGTTCAATTTTCACTTCTTGTGGGCCAGAAAAGAAATGAAGATGTGCTGTACTAAACAATTAAATCTTCAGGATGTGTTTTAAACTGTGAGCTGCAAATCTCAGATTAATGCCTGAATTATTTGGGTTCTTATTTTTCATTTATCCTTTTCATCTAGAAAAATAATGAAAAATAGCAAAGTGGTTGTTATTCAGAATCTTTATGGACTCGTTTTGGACAATGATTCAAGAGCTTGCGCCTGTTTCTTTGACTTTAAAATAAGCATGATTTGTGTAAAGTAACAGAAAGCACCAATACCAACATAAGGTATTATTGCTACAACTCAAGGCCTTACCACTTTATCACACCAAATGTTATTTTATTTTAACTATTTAGGATAGCAATCTTTCTCTACCATTGTATAAGACATATTGAGCAGAATTGTACGGTTTTTAATGGTATAAGAGCTTCATTGCGTATCAACCATAAGCACATACTACATTTTTCTGATGAGCAGGGCTTCTTTACTGCATATTAAAGGGCCTTAGACTATTGTACTCGAGACCAAATGATTTAACTTATTATTTTTATTAATTTTCTTGTAGAATTTCAAGAGCTGCCAGTTCTCAGGCTTCTGTCAGTTACCTTCCATTAAAGCTAGTCATCACCTTCTTTCTTGCTTCTGTTTTGTGAGGTTGATGTTCAGACAACCAAACAAGTTACTAACGTAAGTAAAGAAAGAATAAGTGTATATTGGAGGAGAGCTTAAGAACATTTCCCGAGTAGAGCCTCTAAGTTTTAGTGCTTGGACTCTTGGCATGTTGCATCCATTTGGTTTTTTCTTACCACCTGGTTCTCAGCTGCTTTCTGGAGATTTCAGAACACAGGTAGACTGATTTCAGATAGGCGACGTAGTGTCACTGGTGTATTTATTGACAATAAATCATGCAGTGGTTAAGAGGACGGTCTCTGAGGTCAACAGAACTGGATCTGAATCCCAGTGTGTCGCTGACTAGCTCTGTTACCTAGGCCAAGCTACATAACCTCTCTAAGCGTCAATATCCCCATCTGTAAAGTGAGGAGGATAACACTACTTTTGTCATAGGATTGGTGTAAATTTTGAATGAAATCATACATGCAAAGTGCCTGGCATAAAATCAAATGCTTAGCACAAAACCAAATAGTAGCTATTGTTATTTTTGCCAGGTCTTGAGACCACTGTTTTAATAGTGTTGAAACGCACACTATGGTGAGGTTGTTGGTACTGCTTCTAATCCAGGCCAATGGCAGATGAAGACAGGGCAAAGTGCAAAGCCCTAAACCTCTGGTGAGAATTCCAGGAGACATTAAACACAAATATTGAGACAGATCAAATACTCAACTTCATTTTTGTATTAAAATGACTACCTTAGACGTGTGTTTGGGACACGCTGGGCATTTATTCATGATTTGTATGCACTGGAAATAGAGTTAATGAAAACATTAATTAATTAATGACTACCTGCAGAAGTATGAGGTGACTCTGTCCAGTTTACCTTTGTCTAGATGAAGCTGTTTTGTTTTTGTCTTCTTTTTTTTTTTTTTAAGGCAGGATGCTTGTAATCAGAAGCGGTTCTTGGGAAATCATCATAAGGCTTCTAGTGAAAACCTCAGTTCACCTTCATAATTCAGATAAATTAAGTTCAAATTCAAGGGAAATACCCCATAACCCTTGTGTATACATATTATAGTGAGACATTTCTTTAATATTTGTTAGTTGCTGCGAAGTCAATAGAAATGCCCTGTGGGATGTGGATGTTAGTTTCTTTTTTTTTTTTTTAATTGTACTTCAGGTGAAGGCTTACAGAACAAATAGTTTCTCAAGAAACAGAAGTACACGTTGTTTTACGACATTGGTTAACAACCCCACAGCATATTAACCCTCTAACTTCTCAACGTTTTTTTTGGTGAAAATACACACAGCCAAAGATACACCGTTTCAAAAATTTCTACATACACAGTTCAGTGACATTGACTACGCTCTT